AGAAAATCTGAGAATGTATCATAAGGATGTTGACAAATTTTCCTATGCATCTGGATTAATCCCAAGAACAATCATTTGATTGTATAACATTGAACATTGAAGATTGAAGATTTTAAAAGGTATTTAACATTGTTCAGATTCCATGAAAGAACATTTTTTAAGATATGAACTAGAATATTTTCAAAGTACACTCCTACAAATTTATTAATTGATTGATTCTGGTAACGGGGGAGATTTTCCTTGTTGGATGATCCCCAAATAGAATGGATGGTGGAATGTTTGACTGGCAGTCTCTTTAAGAATAGGGTTAGGGTTTTGTGACAGTGTGTGGTCAAAGCTTTGCTTTGGCGTCTCTGGAACGAGAGGTACCGTAGGGTTTTGTTTTTTTTTTTTTTTGTCAAAACAAAGGTTAAGAAGACGGTATTTTTTGAAACGTTGTACAGTTCAATCTCCTAGTGGAGTCCGAACCACAAAGTTATTTTGTAATTGTAGCCTTCTTTAGATTTTGCTTGATTGGAAGTTGTTTTTGTAGACTCTTGTTGGGAGAGGGTTTCCTCTACCTGACCCATAGGCTGTCATTTTGTGATTAATACAAGTCTCTTTTCGAATTAAAGGCAAGTCTTGTGCAGGCTAGCTTCTTCGCTATCATTTGGGGTATTTGATTTGTGCACAATAATAGGGTTTTCAAATAGGTTGAGAGGTTGTGTGGCGAGGTTTGGGAGTTGGGTAGATTTAATGTCTCAATTTGGGCGTTGTCCCCAGGCCTTTTTGTAACTATGACCTTGGATGATTGATTTTGTAACGGCCCAAGCCTGCCATTAGCATTGTCCTCTTTGGGCTTTCCTTTTGAGTTTTCCCTCAAAGTTTTTAAAACGCGTATGCTAAAGAGAAGTTTTCACACCCTTATAAAGGGTGTTTCGCTCTCCTCTCCAACTAATGAAGGATCTCACAATCCACCCCCCCTTTAAGGTCCAGCATCCTCGCTGGCCCTTGTTCCTTTCTCTAATGGATGTGGGACCACCACCAAATCCACTTCCTTTCGGGGCCCAACGTCCATACTGGCACACTGCCTCGTGTCTACCCCCCTTCGGGGAACAGCCTCCTCGCTGGAACGTCGCCCGGTGTCTGGTTCTGATACCAATTGTAACGGCCCAAGTCCACTACTAGCAGATATTGTCCTCTTTGGGATTTCCCTTTCGGGCTTCCCCTCAAGGTTTTTAAAATGCGTTTGCTAGGGAGAGGTTTTCACACCCTTATAAAGGGTGTTTCGTTCTCCTCTCCAACCGATGTAGGATCTCACAATCCACCCCCCTTTAGGGCCCGGCGTCCTCGCTGGCACTCGTTCCTTTCTCCAATGGATGTGGGACCACCACCAAATCCACTGCCCTTCGGGGCCTAATGTCCTTACTGGTACACTGCCTCGTGTCTACCCTCCTTCGGGGAACAACCTCCTCGCTGACACATCGCTCGGTATCTGGCTCTGATACCATTTGTAACGGTCCAAGCCCACCGCTTGCAGATATTGTCTTCTTTGGGCTTTCCCTTTCGGGCTTCCCCTCAAGGTTTTTAAAATGCATCTGCTAGGGAGAGGTTTCCACACCCTTATAAAGGGTGTTTCGTTCTCCTCCCCAACCGATGTGGGATCTCTCAAATTTTGCTGTGGACTAAATTCTTTTCAGTAATTTTTCCTCTTTTTGTAGGGCTTGTAGAACAAAAGAAATAGCTGGTAGAACAAAAAACTACATCAGTTGCTTCATTAATCGAAAAACCTTTGACTTTTTCCATCTCTTTCTATTCGTTTGAAGTGGGTCCCGACATGTATATGCCCAACTTTTATGTTTTAAAACCACAAGTTTTACTTTCTTTTCTTTCGATGTGCCCATGTATTCAAGATAATAATAATAATAATAATTCACACATTTAACCCAACCAAGAAAGTGCTAGATACTCATCCTGTCATTGAAGCTAGGGAGACCAATTTTCATTTTGAAATTGGCCTGCTTACTGGAGACTTTCTCTCTCTGCTGATGTCTATTGGTTGAAAATCGAGAGGTCTAGATGCGAAATCATCATCACTAGAGGATTTAGACTCAAATCCAATTGGGCATGCTTGATCGTTAGTCTTTTTTGGCACTCGTCTGCCGACATCTAAAACATTTTCTGGGCACTCACTCCTTCATTGTTCATCTTTCCAGTCGTTGGTTTGTTCGTTCTTCCTTTCCCTTGTCGATAGGTATTGAATGTGGATGGGCCGTCAATTTTCCAGTTGTTTTGCACATCGGTGGTGCTTCTTTTAAAACCTTTGTTTCCTTTGTCCCAAGGTGATCTTCTTGTTACTTCTTTTTGCTTCGAGGCCTTATTACCCTCCACCTTTCTTCCCAAAGCCACGGCCTCGTTACTTCTTGATATTTACTAGACCATCAACGAAGATGTTATTCAGACTTGGCCAGAAGTGTCAGTACTAATCTGTTTCCTTGGGTGTATTGTTGATATTGATTGTATAGTAGTAGCTCGTAGTTCACTAGAAGAAACTGGCTCCTCATCGACTTCAACGTCTTTGGCCAAAACCTAATAGGTCTTTTATCATATGTGGAGGCCTCTCCTTTCAACTTATAGGTCACCAATTTCACCTTTTTGTCTTCTAGAGTATTGGTGTAAATTGTACTCGAAAAGGGATTCCACTTCTTTGACCCAATCTTGAAATGTTTCAACATCAAACTTCCCACTGAATGTTGGGAGGTCTACTTTCATTTTGTAATCATAATCCTGTTAGGGTTGATAATGTTGGGTTCTTCCCGTTTGTCCGGGATATTCGTAGTTTACCCTCAAATATAGACCTTCGTCCTCACTCGAGCTATTGTAAACTTGAAATCTTGGACTGGAAAATCATGGTTCAGGAGTTGTAAGAGATGATAGAATGTTCTTATTGGGAGCTCTTGAGGTCATAGATAAAATTGAAGCTCCTCTTTCCAATAATATTCTAGAATTTTGTTGTCGAAGGATTAACGTAAAGTTAGGAGATATTTGTGTAATTCATGAGATAGTATCGAAGTTGAGAATGAATGATATCTATTACTCGGAGAAGGATTTACTTTTTTCAGTTAAAGCCTTCGACTTTTGGTGCGGTTCTAACAGATTACTTCTCTACTCTTCCCTTGATTCTTCCATGCTAAGGACACGTTGAGAAATTGACCTTAGGGTGAGGATTTTAACCTCTTTGCTGGTTTGAGCCGTGTCATTACCAAAGGTGGTGGGATTTTTTCGCCCCGCCATGTCAGATCCCTTCGTCACGAGCTCTAATACCAAAACTAGTGTAGCCCAAGTCTTGGAGGTTTCTTGAAATGAATCTTTAATCAATGTTCTATCAATTACAACCTAGAGACCTCTATTTAAAAGCTTCAAACTAACCTTTGAACATCTAAACAACCCCAGGTTCCTAAATGATCACCGTTGTGGAAGCCAAAGTCCATAGAACATTTTTAGGTTAAATTATACCCAAAAAAATTCCTTCTAAAAAACAATTGAGCTAACGTAAAGACGTGGTACATAATCTCTGTCTTCGTTCTGGTAGTCCATTAGCAAGTAAGTACGGAAACTGTCTTTAAATATCGGGTTTTCATCGATTCATATTAAAAAAAAAAGCTCTTTGTATCATTAGAAACGACCTAATTGGTTTTCGAGACGTCGTGCTTCATGGAGTTTGATTTAAAAGAACCCTTAATCTTGAAAGTTATGTATTTGGAGGGCTAAGGCTTGAACAGGAGACTATATATGCTCTCGTTTACCCTTTTGTAAAACTCTAAGCTACAACTCAGTTGCCATTAGACAACTTTATCTGAGAAAGCTAATGGAAAAGTTCTTTTAGATAACTTTAAAGGTTAAAAAGGTTAAAACAGAACTTTCAAACTTGAACCTAGCTGAACTAGTTGAAGTATACGTCTCGACCATGTTCACCTATAGGATGTTGTTGTGGATGTCTGAGTAGCATGTATCTGCATGTGATGACTGAGATGTAATATTGTCTCTCAACAGGTAGAAGAATGGATCGGAAACTTGCTATCTTTTCCAAGTAGCCGTCGTTCGAGCCTACTTTTTATGCCTGTTCTCAACCCATGACTAATATGAGCTCGAAGTTTCTTTCGTAACTCCCGAAACTTCTTCGTAGTGGCTCCGTTCAGAACAGAGATGCCTTGGAGGCAGGAGTTACTGACTTGTGCTATTTTGAGTTGGAAGTTTCAGCAGAAAATGAACAAAACCACGTACTTGGTTCCATCGGATTTTTGTTTTAAAGGCAATGTATAATGAAAAGAATGCTTTTCTTAACACAACAGGCATAGCTTCGATGATAGGGCGGTGTGCTCCGGTTTCATTGAGATGTGTATCTATCTACCTCATCTGGTGTTGGCGGAGACTTTTGTGTCGAATTGTATTGCCATGTAACAATTTTCATGTTGCAAATTATGAGTTGATTTTTCCTGTTGTAATGGAAATACTGGGAAGGATTTTGACCCTTAACCCTGTAGATACTCTGAAGTAATGCAATAACATAATTAACTTGAAAAATGCAACCATTTGTTGTTTCTGTAAATGATATTCTATTGAATTTTGGTAAATTGTTGTCTTCATCCTGTAGAAATGGCTGATATTTATTCATTGTAAAAGATTGTTCCTCAATTTAAGATACAACAGAAGAAGATAACATAGAAGGCAGGAGTTTATGGTTGATGATGAACATCAATAATGTTCATCAATTTTTCCTTTTTTGCAGCATTGTTCTAGAGTTGAATTCAGCAAGTTCCTCAGAGATTGGAAGTTCATAAGCTCTCAATATGCACGAGGATTCCAGATTTCAGTTCTCAGAGGCTTTTTTCAGGTCAGATATAACTCCCTGATCTTCAGTTCTTTCACTTTATAGTACCTGATGGAAGTAAATGATATGCAATTTAGTGCACAGTTTCAATAACATATGATAAATTGGTAGCACTTTGTAATTCTGGTACCTTATCTATGATATCATATTCAACTGCTTTGCTGGGACTCGAATATTTTGGCCGCCGGCATAAAGCTTAACCTTCAATATCGATTTTAAAAAAGAAAGAACCGTTGGTTCATTTATTGATACTTGTTTAGAGGGAACAATGTCAATTTTCAACTTTACAGTCCTGAACCATGCTGCTGTCCATTGGTGGAATGTGAGTGTTTATGTGACAGGCTGAAGTCCTGCTAGCAAATGGACTTTTTTTTTTTTTACTTTTTTTTTTTTTAGCTTTCCCTCGAGATTTTAAGAAAGCGTATGCTACGTTTCCACACTTTTATAAAGAAAGATTCATTCTTCTCCTCAACCGATGTGGGATCTCACAATCCACCTCCCTTCAGGTCCCAGCATCTTTGCGGACACTCATTCCCCTCTCCACTTAGTGTGGGATCTCACAATCCACCTCCCTTCAGGGCCCAACATCTTTGCGGACACTCATTTCCCTCTCCACTTAGTGTGGGAACCCCCAATCCATCCTCTTTGTGGCCTAGTGTTTTTGCTGGTACACCGCCACGTGTCCATCCCCTTCGGGGTTCAACCTTCTCGCTGACACATCACCCGGTGTCTAGCTCTGATACCATTTGTAATGGTCCAAGCTCACCGCTAGGAGATATTGTCCTCTTTCGGCTTTTCCTTTTCGGGCTTCCCTCAAGGTATTTAAAACGCATCTGCTAGGTTTGCACACCCTTATAAAGAATGTTTCGTTCTCCTCCCCAGCCGATGTGGGATCTCACAATCCACCTCCCTTCGGGACCCAGTGTCCTCACTAGCACTCATTCCCTCCTCCAATCCACCCCCTTCAAGCCTAGCGTCCTTGTTGGTACACTGCCTCGTGTCCACTCCCCTTTGGGGCTCAACCTCTTCTTTGGCACATCACCCGATGTCTAGCTCTAATATCATTTGTAATGGTCCAAGCTCACCGCTAGTAGATATTGTCTTCTTTGGGCTTCCTCTTTCGGGCTTCCCCTCAAGATTTCTAAAACGCGTCTGCTAGGGAGAGGTTTTCACACCCTTATAAAGAATGATTCGTTCTCCTCCCCCAACCGACGTGGGATCTCATAGTTTGGTCGACTATTTTCATTGGACAACCACCGGATCCTCCTATATTTGGTTGTCAAGCTAAGTTATAGGATATTTTTAAATCTGTAATACAGGAATGAAGAAAAGGAAATCCAGTAAACAAATTTCAACCATGATCTTACCAGTTCTGCCTTCATATTTCGTATTCATTTTCTAGTGAAATCAACGGTCTGTTGCTCGACTCTAAGTAAGACACTAACACCTTTCTGAAGTTAAGAAATAAATAGAAGAATAAGGAGGAAAACAAAGACATCCATCGCTGATAGAATACCTGCTTTGTCATTATTGTTGACGAGAGCTATGCAGAACGGCTTCCCTGAGCACCAGCTGCCAAAAGAAGTGCTGCTTCTCCCCAAGCATTACCAATGCATAACGTGAATATAGAAGGCTTAACATATCTGCAGTGCAAATGAATACTAAGTGATGAACAGTAAACAAAGGGTCCTCAACATGTCTACCAGGATTCTAAAGAACAGATGTAACGACCTAAGCTCACTACTAGCAGATATTGTCACTCTTTGCACTTTCAGTTTTGGGCTTCCTCTGAGGATTTTAAAACGCGTCTGCTAGGAAGAGGTTTCCACACCCTTACCAATAATGTTTTGTTCCCCTCTCCAACCGATGTGCGATCTCACAATCCACCCTCCTTTGGAGTCCAATGTCACGGTCCTACATTCTTGACCGTGCGGCGTCGTGATCTATACACGTTCACGACTAGCCTTAAGGGGAATTAAGCCCCATATATATTTTTCGCCCCGACTTTGTGGCTTCGTCGGACCTTAGGCGAGGTTTGTCTTCGCCAATCGAACATCGCTTGTGCGGAATCCAAACTTGTTCAACCACACACGCCGCCTGTGCGTGTATGTTCAATCATCTGCGACACATCCGACTTGCCTCTACGCTAGGCCAACTCATTCGGCCTGACCTTGCCTCTACTCTGGCCAAGGTCTCTCAATACAACGTCGCATCTCATCTTGCCATCTCGATCCCCATCGACGAGGTCCATATGTCTTGACGCCATCCCGAGTCTCGGGATGTCATCGGCCATCATAACTCGTTCGGTCATGCCATCGAGAATGGGCTCGCGTGTCGTTCATCTCATCGGGGCTTCCCGAACATCCATCCATTCGGGTTCTATCGAGGCATAGGCCCTCCCGTGCCCATGCCGAGTCATTTACGGATACCGTACCGAATAGCAGGTGTATGTAGCAACCTCCAACTCGTGGGCTAGGGCGCGATACCGGCACACCCGTGCCGTCCGGTACTGTCCTTCAAAAACCCATTTCAAAAGAAGTCGCCCGAGACACTCGTCTCGGCACGCTCGCCCTCACCGTGATACACGTATGTGCCACAGGGTAGCTCACTTAGGCCACAAGGCCCTTGTGTCACCCAACGTCCTTGTTGGCACTTGTTCCCCTCTCCAATTGATGTGAGATTTCACAATCTACCCCCTTCGAGACCCAACGTCCTTGCCGACACTCGTTGCTCTCTCAAATCAATGTAGGATCTCACAATCCACATTAAAACAACGAAGATTCTAAAGACATGGTTAACCTTTGTTATCCTTTGGGGTTAATGTAAAGTTCATCCTCGTACTGAAGGTAAAGAAATTCAGCAAGTATCAACTCCATGACAGAACGAACAAGAGTAATGCCTAAGTAAACCATTCGATTCTTGTATAAATAAGATGCCAAATCTGGAGAAAGTTGCTCCAAAATATATTCGGACGACATCTCTCATTCCTTGGGAGGTAAATGATCTATTGGATATGGCTTTAACGTTCCGCCCTTTCAAGAATGCAAAAGCCCTACTCTATGGAAAAATCTAATCATGGCTGTCTTTTAAAATCGGTGGACAGAAAGAAAGAAATCGAATATTCTTCGCACAAACAATGAGCAGCAAAATTTCAAATTAATATCACACTTTTTCCCCGAAGAGGACTCATACTAAAATTTAATTAACCAAAGTAGTTGAAAATGTTAAATGAACACAATTCTCCCAATGGTATGATATTGTCTACTTTGAGCATAAGCTCTCATGGTTTTGCGTTGGGCTTCCCCAAAAAGACCTCTTATCAATGGAAAGAGTATTCATTTATTATAAACCCATGATCATTCCCTAAATTAGCCGAGGTGGGACTTTCATTCAACACCTCCTTTTGAACAAAGTACGTCTCCCCTTAATCGAGGCTCGACTCGTTTTCTTTTGGAGTCTTAGTCATTTTTTACTATGCCTTCGAGGAGTCTCGGATGCCTTTTTCTTTTGGAGTCCTTTGTTCGACATTTGAGAATTCTATTGACACGACTAATTTAGGGCATAGCTTTGATACCATGTTAAATAAACACAACTCTCCGTAATGGTATGATATTGTCCGCGTAAGCTCTCATAGCTTTGTTTTAAAAACTAATAACAATGGAGGGAGTATTCTTTGATCATTCCCTAAATTAGCTCGAATTAGCTCGAACAGACGGAAGAGAGAAGAAACAAAACTTCAAAACCAATATCCCAATAGCACGGGAAGAACAAAAATTCAGGCATTTACCATAGTAACAACGCACCTTTTGCCCTTGGATTCACAGGAATAATCCGGATTAAGCAAAGATGGCCGGAGCTTCATGCCGGAAAAGTCCCCGAAGACGCTGCCACCGGCGAAAAGGATGAGAAAATTAGTGGAAAGCTGCGCCGTTCTGAGAGAGGAGGAGGACAATGACAAGGTCCGGTTCGATTATCAATGGCGATATTCTGTTGGAAAGCGCGAAGCTGGAGGCAGTGGCGGCGACCTCGGCGACCTCCATGGCTATAAAACCATGAAGAAGCAGAACGATAACCAAGCCGAGCGAACGATAACCAAGCTGAGCGAAGGTGGGAGATTTGTGGGCTTTTGAAGGTAAGGGCTTAGGCCCAGCCCAAATCATTTGCTTTTCAAGTATAGATTTTGTACCAATAAAAAATTTAAAATAAATTGTGATATCTCATACTAATACATCAATGAACCGAGATTACATTTGAATGGAATAATCTTAAGAAAGGATTAAAATAACGGTAACGGAAAATGTAACGCCCCATATCCACCGCCTAGCAAATATTGTCCTCTTTGGGCTTTCCCTTTCGGGCTTCCCCTCTTGCTAGGGGAAGGTTTCCACACCCTTATAAATGACGGTTTGTACTCTCCCCAATCAATATGGGACATCATAATCCACCCCCTTCGGGTCCCAGCGTCCTCGCTGACACTCTTTCCTTTCTCCCATTGATGTGGGATCGCCTCCAAATCCACCCCCTTTGGGCCCAGCGTCCTTACTAGCACAAGATCTAGGGCAAAGTTTCTATCTGTACCTACACCTTCCTTTTCGGCGGTTCAATCACAGAAACTTCAGATTAAACGTGATTTAATCAGAGTAATTCTATATGGAGTGACTTCTTACGAGTTTTTCTAAGATACATATGAGTGATGACAAAAGATGCCAGAAGAACGATCAGTGGAGATAATTTTCACTCATGACTAAATAACTCCTAGAAAAATTTGAGGGTATTATAAAAAAAAAAAAATTAAAAATGTCAGAAATATTTTTAAATAAAATAAAAAGTTTATAAGGGTATTTTATTAATTTTACGCAAAATTAAACAATTTAGCTTCATCATAATTATCATTAAATTAAAAAATATATTTATGCTCCTAATAATAGCCACATATCTCAACATCCTCCACTAAATTAGTCAAAGTTTGAGAATAATTATTTAAATTAAAAAAAAAAACATATTAAACAAGCTAATCTTGTGCTTAACCTTTTAATATAAGATTTAAAGAATTTAATAATATATTTCTTTCTATTAATATTTTTAAAAATGTATAACTTAATCCTTAAATTAATTGTTAACTTAAAAAATATTTTTTAAATTTTCTCTTAATAACTTAAAAAAATATTTATATTATATTTTTTAAAATAAAAATTATTATTAGATTAAAATACCATTTTAATTTTTATACATGTTTAATTTTAGTTAAATAAATCTAAATTCAGTTTTATTTTATTTTTTAGTAAAAAAGTTCTTCATTTAACATTTTTTAAATATATTCACCTATATTTTAAAACTATTATTACAAAATTAAAATTATATATATATATATATAAGCAAACACATTTATTATGGGCTCAAGTGCAAAGCTTCCCTATCCATCACAATTACAAGGCTGAGGATAGAGGAGGAGCTCTCTCTTCTTCCTTCCACACCAAAACAATGTCTTCCATGGCTTTGTTTTCTCCTCCCTCTCGCCTTTCCTCACTCTCTCCTTCTTCACATCACCGAACCCACTTCCCCTCCAGACCCTTTTCCTCTCTCAGGTCCAGAAACCCTTCTTCTTGGGTCGCTGCTGACAATGGCGCCGGAATTTCAGGTGGTTCCGTCGCTGTAGAATCCGCCGTCGTACAGAAGGATCCGGAGCCGGTGGTGGAAAAGCAAGAGATCCTTGCTGAAACCAATGGGTCGGTGGCGGCTGTGGAAGAAGTGGTGGTGGTTAGCAAATTTGAAGACCCTAAATGGGTTAATGGGACTTGGGATTTGAATCAGTTCCGGAAAGACGGAAGTACTGATTGGGATGCTGTTATTGATGCCGGTAATCTTCGTAAACCCTACTTTTTCTGTTGATTTTGCTTCTAATTGCATTATGAAATCTGGATGTACATAGATACATGCAATGTCTGAGAAGCTTTTTGGGGGAAATCTTGATTCTGCAAGTTTTGATGATGTTTTGATTGTAATGAATTTCTTGGTGATGTTTGAGCAATTACTTGATGTTTGAATCAGAGGCTAGGAGGAGGAAATGGCTGGAAAACAATCCAGAATCATCAAGTAATGAGGACCCTGTGCTGTTTGACACATCCATAGTTCCTTGGTGGGCTTGGATTAAGCGCTACCATCTGCCAGAGGCTGAGATTCTCAATGGTATAAACATGTTTCTATGATTGTTTATCCTGTTTTCTTGAAGCTTGTCTGTTTGATATAAATGGCTAAACGTGAGTGTATGAAAATCGTTTTTAAAAGTGTACAAACTAATGTTAAGTTGATTTTGAATGTTGAAACGCATGTTTTTGAGTGATTTTAGACGTGAATGACTGATTTTAACCATTTGAAAGTCACTCGAACATGTTTTTGTTCTTTTGTTCATGTCTGTGAATCATGATTTCTACTTGTTCATAGCATTGGCTTCTCTGTATGAAAATCATGTTTAGAAGTGTGAAATCATACATGGAAGTTGATTTTAAATGTTTAAACACATGTTCTTGAGTGATTTTGAGCATGTTCTTGAGTGATTTTGAACATGAAGGACCAATTTTAACCATTTGAAAATCACACAAACGTATTTTTTGTTCTTTCTTTCACGTTTGTGGATCATGATTTCTACTTGTTCATAGCATTGGCTTCTCCGTATGAAAATCATGTTTAAAAGCGTAAAATCATACATTAAGATGATTTTGTATGATTTTGAATGTTCAAACGCATGTTCTTGACGTGAATGACTGATTTTAACCATTTGAAAATCACTCAAAACGTATTTTTTGATGATTTTGAATGTTCAAACGCATGTTCTTGACGTGAATGACTGATTTTAACCATTTGAAAATCACTCAAAATGTATGTTTTGATGATTTTGAATGTTCAAACGCATGTTCTTGACGTGAATGACTGATTTTAACCATTTGAAAATCACTCAAAATGTATTTTTTGATGATTTTGAATGTTCAAACGCATGTTCTTGACGTGAATGACTGATTTTAACCATTTGAAAATCACTCAAAATGTATTTTTTGATGATTTTGAATGTTCAAACGCATGTTCTTGACGTGAATGACTGATTTTAACCATTTGAAAATCACTCAAAATGTATTTTTTGATGATTTTGAATGTTCAAACGCATGTTCTTGACGTGAATGACTGATTTTAACCATTTGAAAATCACTCAAAATGTATTTTTTGATGATTTTGAATGTTCAAACGCATGTTCTTGACGTGAATGACTGATTTTAACCATTTGAAAATCACTCAAAATGTATTTTTTGATGATTTTGAATGTTCAAACGCATGTTCTTGACGTGAATGACTGATTTTAACCATTTGAAAATCACTCAAAATGTATTTTTTGATGATTTTGAATGTTCAAACGCATGTTCTTGACGTGAATGACTGATTTTAACCATTTGAAAATCACTCAAAATGTATTTTTTGATGATTTTGAATGTTCAAACGCATGTTCTTGACGTGAATGACTGATTTTAACCATTTGAAAATCACTCAAAATGTATTTTTTGATGATTTTGAATGTTCAAACGCATGTTCTTGACGTGAATGACTGATTTTAACCATTTGAAAATCACTCAAAATGTATTTTTTGACTCAAAACGTATTTTTTGATGATTTTGAATGTTCAAACGCATGTTCTTGACGTGAATGACTGATTTTAACCATTTGAAAATCACTCAAAATGTATGTTTTGATGATTTTGAATGTTCAAACGCATGTTCTTGACGTGAATGACTGATTTTAACCATTTGAAAATCACTCAAAACGTATTTTTTGATGATTTTGAATGTTCAAACGCATGTTCTTGACGTGAATGACTGATTTTAACCATTTGAAAATCACTCAAAATGTATTTTTTGATGATTTTGAATGTTCAAACGCATGTTCTTGACGTGAATGACTGATTTTAACCATTTGAAAATCACTCAAAATGTATTTTTTGATGATTTTGAATGTTCAAACGCATGTTCTTGACGTGAATGACTGATTTTAACCATTTGAAAATCACTCAAAATGTATTTTTTGATGATTTTGAATGTTCAAACGCATGTTCTTGACGTGAATGACTGATTTTAACCATTTGAAAATCACTCAAAATGTATTTTTTGATGATTTTGAATGTTCAAACGCATGTTCTTGACGTGAATGACTGATTTTAACCATTTGAAAATCACTCAAAATGTATTTTTTGATGATTTTGAATGTTCAAACGCATGTTCTTGACGTGAATGACTGATTTTAACCATTTGAAAATCACTCAAAATGTATTTTTTGATGATTTTGAATGTTCAAACGCATGTTCTTGACGTGAATGACTGATTTTAACCATTTGAAAATCACTCAAAATGTATTTTTTGATGATTTTGAATGTTCAAACGCATGTTCTTGACGTGAATGACTGATTTTAACCATTTGAAAATCACTCAAAATGTATTTTTTGATGATTTTGAATGTTCAAACGCATGTTCTTGAGTGATTTTGAACGTAAATGACTGGTTTTACCCATTTGAAAATCACTCAAAACATATTTTTGTTCTTTCGCTCATGTCTGTGAATCATGATTTCGACGCAGGGCGTGCAGCCATGGTGGGGTTTTTCATGGCTTACTTCGTCGATAGCTTGACGGGGGTAGGACTAGTAGGTCAAATGGGCAACTTCTTCTGCAAAACTTTGTTATTTATTGCAGTGGTGGGAGTTCTTTTGATCAGAAAGAACGAAGATATAGAGACTCTAAAGAAGTTGATTGATGAGACGACATTTTATGATAAACAATGGCAAGCAACTTGGCAGGATGAAACCAAAGGCTCAGGCAAAGTGTAATGTGTTCTTGTTTTGCTTTAATTATGTTTGTATCTCTTAAGATTTGGGCTTAGTAGAGACGGATAATGTGAGCTCTGAAAGATATTGAATGTTTAGGCCTCAGTTTGTTCATGTTTCTTGTTTCAGTGAAAATCTTTCTAAAAGCATGGGTTTTTCTGGAAAAAAATTCATGTCTGATAAACTTGATTATCAGTTTCACCTCACCAAGATAGACGTCTCGAAAGTATGGCGATCAAAAGGAACAAAAGACGAGTGTTTAATACGTGTTTCAACTCGGTGTCATCTAGCATACTTGATGCATCCAGAAAGTTATTGAAGTACTTCAAACATATTACACCATAAGCATGGTGTGAGATCTCATATCGATTGGAAAGAAACAACGTCGAACGAGTGCCGGTGAGTATGTTGGGCTCCGAATAGGGGTGAATTGTGAGGTCTTAATAAAATATTCTTTCTAAGGCTAGCATTGTCACACCCCCTCGAGGCTTAGCCTCCCCGTTGTAACAACTCAAGCCCACAACTAACCGATATTGTCCTATTTAGACTTCCCCCTTCAAGCTTCCCCTCATGATTTTTAAAACGCAGTCTGGTAAGAAAGAAATTTTCACACCCTTAAAAGAAGGTTTCATTCTCCTTCCCAACCTCTCACCGTCTCACTTACTACGCAATCTGCTACCGGTACACCAATCATTACTCTCGATTTGGCTTTATCGAATCCAAGGCCAACTCAACAACAAACGGCCGAGGGAATGGTCCTGCAGATTCTGGCGACATTGAGGGTGGAAAGATGGGGTTTGAAGAGGAAGCAGGTGGCGACGGGAGTTGTACGGACGGCGGAGGAAGTAGAAGGAGGGAGATTTGCAGAGCCGGAGATTATCATTTCTACACCGTGACGGCGATGGGAGTTGTACGTATGTAAATTTTTTTAGAAATTTAAACTAGTACAAATATTTTTTAATTCTAAAAAAAATACTCTTAAAATTTTTAAAATTTCAGTAATAAAACAATTGAATTTTAAAAAAATTATAATTATAAAATTCACAAATATATTTTATTATAAAAATATCTTTAAATTTTTTTTAAAAAAACATTATTAATAACTTTAAACTCTTTAAAAAATACAATAATTTTTTTTAATATTAAAAAGAGAGATAATTTATGAGTTGTTTATAGATTATTTCCGTATATATATTGACGATACATTTTTTTTCTTGAATTTTCTTTTATAAAGGTTTAGGGTGTTAATGCTACCTTGAAGGGCGTTTATACATCTAGCAGATGCGTTTTAAAAACTTTGAAGGGTAGGTCGAAAGAGAAAACCTAAAGAGGACAATATCAGTTAACGATGGGTTTGTGCCATTACAGTTGGTATCAGAGTCAGACACTGGGCGATGTGCCAACGGGTAAGCTAAGCCCCGAAGGGAGTGGACACGAGGCTGTGTGCCAACAAGGACACTAAGCCCCGAAGGGGAGGGTGGATTGTGAGATTCTACATCGATTGGAGAAAACAACCAGACACCGAGTGATATATGCCAGCGAGGAGGCTGAGCCCCAAAGGGATTGGACACGAGGCGGTGCACCAACAAGGGGACACTAGGCCTCAAGCGATATGTCAGCAAGGAGGATGAGCCTCGAAGGGAGTAGACACAAGGCAGTGTGCTAACAAAGAAACTAGGTCCTGAAGGAAGATGGATTACGAGATCCCACATCGATTAGGGAAAAGAACGAAACATTCTTTTTAAGGGTGCGGAACCCTCTCATGAGTTTACCCCTATTCGGCCGTTACATTATTTTTATTAATTTAACATAAAATTAATAAATAAACACAAATATATACTTAATTGAAATCTCATATATTTTCACCCCTAGAAAAAAGCTTGAACACATTCAGATTTACTAACTATATATATATATATATATATATATATATATATATATATATATATATATATATATATAACTTTTTAATTATTAACTTAATATTAAACAAGAGGAAAAAAAAAACATCACTTAGTTCACTCTCTATATCATCTTCTTCTTTAATCTTCAGGCTTGCTTGGATATTCCCAATGATAGCTTTCATGGAGTAGTATAGCCTGCATTACAAACATTATATAATATATGTATATGTATGTGTGTATATATATATATATATATATATATATAACCATCTTATTAAAAATTAAATAAAATTGGCCAAAAATAATAATATTATTATTTTACGTATATAAATAATATATTAATAAATTTGTAATTGTAATATACTGAAATTATTTCATGGGCAATTTACAAAATTTATATTTAGGCTATTTTTAAAATATTTAACAACTATTTTATTATTATTATTATTATTATTATTTGTTTAATACTTTTGGATGATTTATTTAAATTCATGAATTGAGGTCGGCTTCTAATTTTTCATTCGAGATTCTAAAAAATTTTACTAGAGGTAAGACGTTTACGAAATGTGGAGGGTAATATTGTCTTTTAAAATAGTAAGGGTATTTTTGAAATAAAAAGCAAGTTCGTTTTTTAAATAAACTTAATAATTTTATTTTTTAAAAATTAATCTGTCGAATTTAGAGAGAGAGAGAGAGAGAGAGAGAGGTTAATTACTTCCACATTTGAAATGGCGGGGGACCTTACGGCCGCAGCCTTCGATGAGGCGAATGGCGCGATTAGGGTCCACGTATGTCATCAGCTTAGGCGTAACAGCCGGGCAAATACACTCCGTATGGCTCACTCTCGCCCTCTGGCAGCACGCCGGCGACGGGTTCCTCCCGAACACCACCGCCAGGCACTCTTTCACCGCCATATCTCTCTCCGCCTTACACTGCGCCGCCGTCAGCGCCGCCACCTCCCCTACTGCCACCGCCATCACCACCGCCAGCACCAAGCCCCAACGCCTCATGCCCATGCCCATGCCCATGCCCACCATCTGTTTGATAAAAGTCCTGACTCAAACAAACGCCCTTTGCCCTTAGCCCTCCGCGTGGTTAATTATATAGGCGCTGCGTGCGTGGGGTCTTGCATTCCTTTATTAGTGCGGCATTGACTTGGGAGTGCCTCTTCCTCAAGCCCAGTCAAGGGATTTAAAAACAAAGGTATATTGATTCAACCATACTCCTTAGCATACGAATAAACACGAACCTTAACTATTATACTATGTTCATGTTGGCTGATGACGTGAGAAGTCGACGAGTTAAAATAAGAATTAAGCACGAACGAACATTAACCATTGTACTATGTTCATATTGGTTGATGACGTGAGAATTCGACCTTCTTAACTTAAGAATCAAGCACGAATGTTAACCATTGTACTATGTTCATGTTGGTTAATGATGTGAGAATTCGACCTTCTTAGCTTAAGAATTAAATACGAATGTTAACCATTGTACTATGTTCATGTTGGTTAATGATGTGAGAATTTACCTTCTTAGCTTAAGAATTAAGCACGAACATTAACTATTGTACTATGTTCACGTTGGTTAACCAACGTGAGAATTCAAAGAATTAGAATAATTTTAAAAATAGATGGAAATAGTGTATTATTTGGTGGGGAATACTGAAATTATGGATTGTATGGCAGATTTTCTTTATCCATTGATTGGTTTTGAAAATAGAAATTTAATGGGTTAGGAGTATATCAATTTGGAATTGAATTCCACATTTTCACGACAATTAGTGGTGTACGGAAACCAACATTCTTCCATTTTTCAAATCGGTCTCTCTTTGGTATCGAGTATTTTATTTTCCTTTTCGTCGTTGTCTAATGTTATTGATCGTCAAATTTTTGAAACTGATTTATCTATCTAGACCAAAGCTTAAGGTATATAATTTCTTTTTTCTGTTGATGTGGTGTGAGATCTCATTTGTTGGAGAGAGAAACGAAACATTCTAAAGTAGACAATATTTGTATACGGTTGACTGTAGACGATATTTGTATACGGTTGACTGTTTCAAATGGTATAGAACTAGACACTGAAATGGTGTGTTAGCGAGGATGCTGACCTAAAATATTATTGTATTATCAAAATGTAATTTATTAAATGGGTTAAAAATTAATTTATATTTTAATTGGAAAAAATAGAGTTAATACATTGAATTCAACAAAACCTAATATGCAATTATAAAATTTAAAACTCTTACTAAAATAATTAAAGAATATTGATTTATTATTGCTAACTTCATAAAAATTAGTACTTTATAATTTATTATCGTTATTTTTAATCAATTATAAAAAATATAGAAAATAGAATTTAACACCAAAGGATCCGTGGCGCAATGGTAGCGCGTCTGACTCCAGATCAGAAGGTTGCGTGTTCGATTCACGTCGGGTTCAATTTTTTGGATGTTTTTTATTTTCTTATTTTTATATTAATCTGGTGGTCTTATGAAATTACTTTTATGCCTTTTGTTAATTTTAATATTCACCAAAAGTTCACGGCGTCTCTTTCCTCCGTGAACTTCGACGCTAAACCTTCTTTCCGTCTGGATTTTGTTTGTTGTTTGGGTTAAATTACAATTTCGTCCTCGAGATTTTAAATCTTTTTCTTAATTTTAAAATATAATTAATAAAATTATTAAACTTTTCATCCTATGTCTTACATGCTCTACAATTTTAAAAATTATAGTTATAGGATACTAAACATACGCTACATGAGATCGTATGACTACTCGTAGAAATCATGTCTACTTTTATCATACCAAAAATACTTCAAAATGTACAATAGCGGTAGGCGTGGCGTCAACTCTACACCATCCTAGGCCTTGCGACCTAAGTGAGCTACCATGTGGCACATACATGTGTTATAGCGTGTGTGAGTATTGCAAGACAAGTGTCTTGGGTGTTCTCCTTCGAAAATGGATTTTTTATAATAGTGTAGGACGACACGGGTGTGCCAACATACACCTCAGCCTATATGTTGGAGGTTGATATATGCACTTGCTATCCAGTACGGTATCTGTAAATGACTTGACACAAACACTGTAGGGTTCATGCCTTGATAGAACTCAGATTGATGATTGTTTGAGATGTCTCGATGGTATGATTAAGTTATAGGTCAGTTCTCGATAGACACGTTAGAGCAACCCATGATGGCCAAAGCCTTCCGGGACTTGGAATGGCATGATGATGCATGGGTATGAAGATGAGAACCTAAATGACAAAGATGATGACCGAGATGCAATGTTGTAATCGAAAGATCTTGGCCTAGAGAAGAGGCAAGGTCGAACAGAGGACTTGACCAAGAGATGATAAAAGTCGACTAAAGTTGCAGGCGATTGAACATGCACGCACGAGCAGCAAATGTAGCGAAACAAACTTAGATTCTGCATGAGTTGTGTTCGGATGGCGAAGGAGAATATCGTCTAAAGTTCCTTAAAACTTGTCATGAACGTGTCAAGATCATGACACCCACACGATTGAAAATGTACAACCGTGACACCAATCAAGATAGACAATGAGTTGTACGACCGTGACACCAATCTATATATTACTTAACTAAAAAGTTGTTTATCGAAGTCTCATTTATATAACAAAATGATATGTTATCAAAATAAAATTTATTGATCGGGTTAAAAATAGTTTATATTTTAATTCCAATAAATAAACATAATACATAAAAATAAAAAAGAGCATAATATGCATTTATAAAATTTTAAATTTTATTATAATGTAACAACTTACTAAACACAAAATTATTTATTTTTAAAGAACATTGATTTATTAAACTGTTGGTATATTTTTTATTAATAAAATCATATAAAATAATGCTTTAGAATTTACATATCCTTAATTTTTATGTAAAAATAATATTAAAAATAATAATTGAAAATAAATAAGTTTATAAGACGAAAAATGCACAAAGGGATCCGTGGCGCAATGGTAGCGCGTCTGACTCCAGATCAGAAGGTTGCGTGTTCGATTCACGTCGGGTTCACTTTTTCGATTTTTTGGATTATTTTTTATTTTCTTATTTTTATATTAATCTGATGTCTTGTGAATTTACTTTTATGCCTTTTATTAATTTTAATATCCACCAAAAGTTCACCGGTCGTCTTCCTCGCGACGGATCTGCTTCCAACCCTTTCTCCAGCGACGGCGCGATGAGGAAGCCGGGGAAGGACGAGGCGGCAGGCGGCGCTTGCATTCCTCCGCCGCCATTTCTGCTAAGACGCTGCCGGAGGACAAAATCGAACATACATTTAACAATATTTAGAAGATTGAAGAATTAAAAAAGTAAAACTAAATATGAGTCTAAATGATACAAAAGGATCCGTGGCGCAATGGTAGCGCGTCTGACTCCAGATCAGAAGGTTGCGTGTTCGATTCACGTCGGGTTCAGTTTTTTCCATTTTTGGATTATTTTCTTATTTTTATATTAATCTGATGTCTTGCGAAATTACTATAATGCCTTTCGTGAGTTTTAATATTCACAAAAAGACCACGCCGTCTCTTTCCTCCGTGAACTTCCACCGCTATACGTGCTTCCGTTTGGATTTTGTTTGTTGAATTACAATTTTGTCCTGAAAATTTTCGATTTTTTTTTATATATATAATTTTATTTTTTTGTTTGTTGTTTGGGTTTTTTTTTTTTTTTTGTCACCATATAGAAATTTAATTCAGAAAAGACCATTACTTAGTCAAAGATTGAATCTGATTATAATAATAAATCATTTTTATATTTCCATCTCATTATTCTTCTAATGTGATAAAACTAAAATCTTGACAAATTAAAATAAAAAATGAAATTAAAAAATAAATTATGAGACAAAATTGTATATTTAACCTAAAAAGTCATCTTAAGAATCATTGCATAGAATAAAATATAAATTTTATAAGATAAGGTTGCTTAAATGGCTATTCTTGTTGATTTAAAATTAAATTATTAATAAAAATTAATTGTCACTAATTTTCGTTTAGCCAACTAATTATCATATTTAACTAAAATTATTTCAAAAAATTCATTTCAAAAAATAAAATGTCGCTTTCAAAACGCTTTAAAAGTCAAACTCAAAATCGATAAATATACTTTTAGAATAGACTGCATTTTCAAATTTGACTCATGTTTTTTTTTAATATATCTTAATGTCCTGTCAAATTCTCTATGACGGTTTATGTCTCTAGCAAGACTATTTAATGTAATGGAATAAATTGATATGGAATCCACCCGAGAGAAAGTATGGAACGGATTACCTTGATGATCAAGATCAAGAATAAAGAAAAACTCGTGATTCGAATCATTCCACAAAAGGTTTAATCAAATAGCACTTGAATAACTCTAGCATGCACTTGCAAAGAAAATCTTAGCTCTCAACAAACCTAAAAAGAAATAGAAATTCTATCCTTTTTAATTTCAAAATGTGATGTCTGTGAAAGGAACGCTTTATACCGTTATATCTTGACTCACGTGACACATCACTCCCAAATTAAATTGGTTAGTAAATGAGAAATACTCGTAACCTCCCTGTTAAAATGTCTTGTTAAATGGTGGAATATGGTAACCTATGTATGTTACCATATAACTTTAACTCCTATATTAAAAATTAGCTGACAAACAAATATTTAAATTATAATTAAATAGTGCAACGAATGAAATGAGTTTATTAGTCATGTACTAGTTCCATAAATTTAGCTGAGTTCATTAAATGCAACTTTTCATAACATATAAGGGAGATCTCTAACGTCTTCTAGAATTTTCTTTCATGAGCTCACCATAGCTTGAATATAAGTGTACAAAGTTTGTTGTAGCTTCTTGGCTCTCGTCTTTATAATTGGACCTTCAGGTATGAAAATTCCTTGGTCGTGGTTCATATCATAGATAGTCAATATTATCGGGTATTCATGTGATCAGTTCAATAGGTCTTTTTCGTTTTTCCGTTCATATTATGGATTGAGTTCATCTTTATAATAATCAAATGAATAACAAGAACCGAACAATAACAAGAACTCTAACGAGGAAAGAGGTGGGAGCACTCAACCCTTCTTAAATGCTCGTTTATTATTATTATTATTATTATTTATGATTCTAAGAACAAAAATATATTTTTAAAAAATTACAATTTGCTTGATAATTATTTTGTTTCAATTTTTAGAATTATATCAACTTCATATAATTAAAACGATAATAAATAAATAAAGAAAAATACAAATATAACCTTCACTCATAGACAAGCAATAATACATTAAGATTTACTAACATTTTTTTAATAATAATAATTATTATTATTTTAAACCAAGGACATAATTAAAAATAGTACATAATTAACTTAATATTAAACAACAAAAAACAATCATCCCCTTCTTTAATCTTCATGGAGTCGTAAGACCTGCATTAAAAACATTAATTTAATTAATTAATTAATTAATTAATTAATTATATATATATAAACATATTCACCGAGTTATAAATTTATATTTATAATATAATAAAATTATTTTACAGGCGATTATTCAATTCTATTATGAAATAATGTGACAGTAACTTTGGTTTCAATTTTAATTCGAAATTCTAAAATTCTCTATACTAAAAAATAATTATAAGATTTGAAATAATTCGAATGATTTTGAGATATTTATTTTTTATAATTTAATATATATATATATATTTTTGGAATATTTATGAAAGATGAAAAAAAAATCCCTGAACAAAAATGAATAATGAAAAAAATAAATATGTTAATTTTTGGAAAATTAAATGATTATATACATATATATGTATGTATTATGTATGTATATGTATATGTGTATATATATGTAGAGAGAGGGGTTAATTTAATTACTTCCACATTTGAAATGGCGGGGGACCTTACGGCCGCAGCTTTCGATGAGGCGAATGGCGCGATTAGGGTCCACGTATGTCATCAGCTTAGGCGTAACAGCCGGGCAAATACACTCCGTATGGCTCACTCTCGCCCTCTGGCAGCACGCCGGCGACGGGTTACTCCCGAACACCACCGGCAGGCACTCTTTCACCGCCATATCTCTCTCCGCCTTACACTGCGCCGCCGTCAGTGCCGCCACCTCCCCTACTGCCACCGCCATAACCACCGCCACTGCCAGCACCAAGCCCCAACGCCTCATGCCAATGCCCATGCCCACCATCTGTTTGATAAAAGTCCTGACTCAAACAAACGCCCTTTGGCCTTAGCCCTCCGCGTGGTTAATTAAATAGGCGCTGCGTGCGTGGGGTGTTGCAATTCTTTATTGGCGCGGCATTGACTTGGGATTGCCTCATCCCCAAGTCTAGTCAAGGGATTTAAACAAATAAGGTATGTTTACATTTGAATCCCTTGCTTAGTTGTTATTATATGGTTTAAGCTTTGAAGATTATTTTCCGATGATACGAGAGCTTATTTAAAGTTCAATGGAGATTCGAACTTTCGAAGAGTTATTTTTATTAGGGTATTGACCACTGAATCATGTTCACGTTCCCCGATAGCGTAGAAATTCAACAAAACATTTGATGTTGGAACTTATATCATTAACTTTGAGATCCCACGTCAGTTGGAGAGGGGAACGAAACATTTCTTATGGCATGAAAACCTCTCCCTAGTAGACGCGTTTTAAAATAACAATATGTAATAGACTAAAGCGAACAATATTTGCTAGTAGTGAACTTAGACGGTTATAAATGATATCAAAGGTAGACACTGGGTTGTATGTCAGCGAGGATGGTAGGTCCCTAAGGGGGTGGATTGTGAGATTCCACATCAATTGGAGAGAAAAATGAATTATTCCGAGTGTAGAAACTACTTTGATATGTGGAATCACTACAAGAGGAGTAAGATTCGGATTACCTTGTCGATCGAATATCTCAAGGCAAGAACATTGTTTGAGATTCGAATCATTCCACAAGCAAGATCGATCATGTCTAGCTTGAATGATTCTGGTTGATCAAATATCTCAACGCAAGAACACTTGTTTGAGATTCGAATCACTCCACAAGCAAGATTGATCATGTCGAATTTGAATGATTCTATATATAAACTTAGCCATTGGTTAAAGAAAGCACAAATGCTCCTTTTTATTATATTTTTACAAGTCTCCTACCAATACAACATGGCTTTATATAGCCTCAAAATGAAACTACTAAAGACATTCCAAGAGTGAGTGTAACATTCATACTTAATGGCCATAATTAACCATTATGTAATTGTAACCTAAAATAAATTAAAAGTCTTAAACTACGTTAACGAAATACAATAACTCTAAATTACTCTAAATGGGAATCCACCCAAAATTTAAAACATGAAACTTTGTTCTGTTCAATGTGGCATGAATTGAAATATCTTTTGATAATTTCAATAATATTTTCTTTGCATCTTTATTGAAGCATATTGTAGGATTGATGTCTCTTCGTTCATATCATACTTTCTAGTAAACGCGTTTTAAAATAGTGAGACTAATAGCGATACGTAACGGACAATAGATTTTCTTTTTCTTCCCATCGATTGGTGTGAAATTAGGAATTTGATGGGTTAGGAGTATACCAACTTGGATTTGGATTCCACATTTTCCCTTGTCGTGTACCTTATTACTGATGTACGGATACCAACTTTCTTTCCATTTTTTTTTATGATGGGGGTCCTCTATAGGACACCGACCTCAATTTTGTAGGGCCTACTAGTCCATTTTTTTCATATTTTGCGGCGGTACGACTTACATTATTTTCACTCTCGTTGTCTGATCTTATTGACTAAGTTACACGATTTCGTTTTTATTGATATCGATGCTCGTTTAAGAGGTCTTTCATAGATCCTTAAACTTAGAACAGTGTTTTATAGGTTATTAAATTATATCAGATAAATTCTTGAATTATTCATGTTCGGGTGCGTATGTATTCTTCAATGTGTTCGACCATAAACATGAAAATTTAAATCACGTGATTTCTCCTTTGATATTGAAATTTTTTAGCTAATTACAACTTCAATCCATGAATCTTTAAAGACGTGGTTAAAGGTAAGAATTTTCTCTTGCAATGGAGATTTCCAACCGAGAATTAACCTAGAGGCTCACGTATATGATATACGTAGTTGAATTAATTAACAAAATGATGTTGTATTATCATACATCATACAATTTGTCCAATCAAACGAACACTGAAGCCACTTACCTAGTTGACTAAGCCAACGTCACTAAATTTTCTGAGTTGATGTTCGTTTGATCATACTCGTCATGGTCTAGTTTCAAAGCTAACTCCAAATTAGCGTTGACAAAGGATAAAGAAAGGATTTGTTTGTTGTTGCTAATACATTAAATGAATTTGTGACGGGTCTAAGAATTAAATTATTGTATAAATCAGTTTTATTTAGATTTTAGGTTCCAGTCATGCTAATATATCTATCCATGGTTGAATTAGAATGATATAAATCATTTTAAATTTATACTTTAATTTTATATATCATAGTTTTTTTTTTAATCAAATAATTAGTGATGGATCTAATTGGAAGAATCGTTCAGAAAATAGAAAGTATGAAAAAACTTGCAAGGGATCTATGGCGCAATGGTAGCGTGTCTGACTCCATCTTAGAAGGTTGCGTGTTCGATTCATGTAACTTTTGTTTTTCATTTCCAAAAGTGAGTAAAACTTGGTAGCAGCGTGGCGCTCACTTTCTTATGGTAAAATAGAGAACATGAATGTATATATATATTAAAAGATACAAAATAGGCACCAAGGGATATGTCTGGCTCTAGATCAGAAGGTTGCGAATTCGATTCACGTTGGGTTCAATTTTTTTTATTAATTTGATGTCCAGAAAATTTAGAAATATTCATAAATATGATTCTAGCGACATCAAAGGATTCGTGGCGCAGTGTTTGCGCGTCTAACTTTATATCAGAAAGTTGCGTGTTCGATTCACGTTGAGTTCAGTTTTCTATTATTTTTTTATTAATTTGATGTCAAGGAAATATAAAATATAAATAAATATTAATTCAACGACAGAAAAGGATCCGTGGCGCAATGGTAGCGCGTCTGACTCCAGATCAGAAGGTTGCGTGTTCGATTCACGTCGGGTTCAATTTCATGAATTTTTTTTGGATGATTTTTTATTCTCTTATTTTATGTTAATATAATGTCTTGTGAAATTCCATTTATGCCTTTTGTTAATTCTAATATTCACCAAAAGTTCACGGCGTCTCTTTCCTCCGTGAACTTCAACGTTGAACCTTTTTTCCGTTGGGTCTCCATCTCCAATTAACGTTACAATTTTGTTCATTTTTCAGTTAAATTATTATTTTTATTAACTCTTTAGGGATAATTTTGATTTTTAATTTTTTTTTGGTAACATGTTCTTATTTTTAAAATATTTAATTGACTCATAAAATTTTAGTAAATCCTTGATTTTTTTTTTTTTTTAATTGTTGTTTGATATAATCTTGACCTATTGACATTTTTTAAAAAACAAACATAAACCTACTAAATAAAAAAATTAAAAGAGTTAAATATTCTAGACTAGTGGTGAAAACTTTCTAAGTCGGAATCTGATCTTAGCCTATTGGTTGATGATACGGTTCGTGTTGGTGGAGCTTCTAGCCTTTCCCCGGGATACATTCTTGTCTGCATACCAATAAGTAATCGTTAAAACTCATTCTCAAGGTGTGGCAAGCAATATGTACTGGAATGCATACACAAAGTGGCACGTTGATTAGCGATTACTAGCAATCCAACCTCAAGATTAGCCTCACGATAACGAGGTTATACCCTGTGAAAACCTCGTCATCATAGGTTTGGCAGGTGGGTCAGGAACGCCCGACTTATCAAGAACTTTGATCAACAAAAAAAAAATGGACTATGTTATTGTTGATACAATGAACATTTTGCACAATGTTCCATGGCTTTCTATTCTCTCTATACAATGTGATTTTGATACCATTTTATGCTTGTTTTTTATAATCATACCATTCTCAAACAGCAGTTACATAGTCACCACTGACATCGACTTCAGAATCGATATCCGCATCGAGATCGTCGAGCCCCGACCCTCCGGCCAACGCTTGGTCCCCGACCTTGGATCCTTCCCCAGGCGTCATTGCTTCCCGAACAATCTGCATGATTTCCTCGACGCTCTGCGAGAGCTGGTTGTGTTCTTGTTTTTTGAAGTTGGTTTTCTCAATCTCAATCAGTTCCTTTGGCAAGTTCTTGAAAAACCATGGCAGCTGCTTTATCTCTTGGATAGTGATCCTCTTCAAACAAGAAATGAACAAGATTTATGACCAAAACTAGATCGAACGGAATTCGAATTTAGATTAATATGATCCTATATCGACATAGAGTCCGAGCTGCTTGTTACCTTTGCGGGGTTGGCAACGAATATGCGAGAGAGTAGGTTGCGACACTCCACGGACACACGTACGTAATCGGGTATGGAGTATTGAACACTCAATATTCTCTGTTTTTAAGATTACAGTCATGAGAGACATCACATACATTGTAAATGTTTTGTTTGAGAGACACTTACCGCTATCGTCTTACGAAAATTTCTTGGATCTTCGGGATCTTCGAACGGATACGCTCCGACCAACATCACATACAATGTCACTCCACATGACCAAACATCTGATATCTACAAGGCGTAACAAAATCATCAAGAACAGCTGCAGCCTGCAGAAGAGTATACCACATGGAAAATACCTTGCCATCGTACTCCTTCCGTGATAGAACCTCCGGAGCGATGTATGCAGGCGTCCCAACGGTCGATTTCGGTTGCGAGTGTAACAAGCCAGACTGCAACGGATCGAACAAGCAAAAAAGGCTGAATATATGACAGAACGAAACAGATTCGAGCTTATGTTTAAGTTGGACGATAGATTATCAACCTTTGAGTAACCAAAGTCGCATATCTTAAGTTGTGGTGTGGGACTTCCATCCAAGAGTGTGTTTTCGAGTTTCAGATCCCTGTGACAAATTTGCTGTGAACGACATAGAACGATTAAACCGAGCGAACCGAACGAAAACGTATAAGAAAACGAACAAGAGAGTAACATGTTTTCGACGACAAAAAGGAAATTTGATTGTTATACCATGGAATGGCAGTAGCTGACTCCGGATATTAGCTGCTGGAAGAAAAATCTCGCCTGATGTGCAGAACGATTCCGAGAAACCGAACAAAAGACGGGTTGAGAAATGGAAAAGATAAAGAGATATAGAAAAGCAAGAAAAGGTAAAACGTCGACCTCGTCTTCACTAAATCGACCAGCGCTGCATATTCTTCCGAAAAGTTCCCCACCAGCTGCATATTCCATGACAATGGCCAAATGAGTTGGGGTTAAGAAGACCTGCAGACAAACATCACTCATTCAGGTGCTCCATCCATGTGGAATCTTTACAATGTCCAAGATAACGGTTAGAAGATAAGGATTTTGTTTGATAACGATTATGTTTTTAAGAGTTACGCTCGGTTTCCACACTCTTGTAAGGTATGCTTCGTTCCCCCTCCCGACATGGGATCTCACAATCCACCCCCCTTGAGGCCCAACGTCCTCGTTAGCACGCCGCTCAGTGACTGGCTCTGATACCATTTGTAACAACCCAAACTCACTACTAATAGATATTGTCCGCTTTGGCCCGTTACGTATCATCATTAGCCTCACGGTTTTAAAACACATCGGTTAGGAAGAGGTTTCCAAGCTCTTATAAGGTATACTTCGTTCCACTCTCCAACTGACGTGGGATCTCACAATCCACCCCTTGAGGCCCAGTGTCCTCGTTGGCACACCGTCTAGTGACTAGCTCTGGTACCATTTGTAACCGCCCAAGCACACCACTAATAGATATTGTCCGTTTTGGCCCGTTATGTATCACCATCAGCCTCATGATTTTAAAACACGTCTGTTAGGAAGAGGTTTCCAAACTCTTATAAAGTATACTTCGTTCCCCTCTCCAACTGATGTGGGATCTCACAATCCACCCCCCTTGAGGCCCAGCGTCCTCACTAGCACACCATCCAGTGACTGACTCTGACACCATTTGTAACAGCCCAAGCCTACCGCTAGTAGATATTGTCTGTTTGGCCCATTACATATCACCATCAACCTTGCGATTTTAAAACATATCTGTTAGGAAGAGGTTTCCACACTCTTATAAGGTATGCTTCGTTTCTTTTCCAACCGATGTGAGATCTCACAATCCACTCCCCTTGAGGCCTAGCGTCCTCACTAGCACATCGTCCGGTGACTGATTCTGATACCATTTTTAACAACTCAAACTCACCGCTAGTAGATATTGTCCGCTTTGACCTGTTACGTATCACCATCAGCCTCACGGTTTTAAAACACATCTATTAGGAAGCGGTTTCTAAACTCTTATAAGATATGCTCCGTTCCCCCCTCCAACCGATGTGGGATCTCACATTCCACCCCCCTTGAGGCCCAACATCCTCGTTGGCACACCGCCCAATGACCAACTTTGATACCATTTGTAACAGCCCAAGCTCACGGCTAGTAGATATTGCTCACTTTGGCCCATTACGTATCACCATCAGCCTCACGATTCTAAAACACGTATGCTAGAGAGAGATTTCCACACTCTTACTTCGTTCCCCCCTCCAACCGATGTGGATCTCACAATCCACCTCCCTTGAGGCCCAGCGTCCTCGTTAGCACATTGCACAGTGATTGACTCTAATACCATTTGTAACAACTCAAGCTCACCACTAGTAGGTATTTTCTACTTGTGCAATTGACTCTAATACCATTTGTAACAACTGAAGCTCACCACTAGTAGGTATTTTCTGCTTTGGCCTATTACGTCTCACCATCAGCCTCACAGTTTTAAAACACATCTGTTTTTAAAACACGTCTGTTAGAGAGAGGTTTTCACACTTTTATAAGTTATGATTCGTTCCCCACTCCAACCGATGTGGGATCTCACAATCCACCCCCTTGAGGTCCAGTGTCCTCGCTGACACACCGCCCAATGACCAAATTTGATACCATTTGTAACAGCCCAAACTCACTGCTAGTAGATATTGTTCACTTTGGCCCGTTACATATCACCATCAACCTCACAATTCTAAAACACGTCTGCTAGAGAGAGGTTTCCACACTCTTATAAGGTTGCTTCGTTCCCCCCTCCAACCGACGTGGATCTCACAATCCACCTCCCTTGAGGCCCAGCGTTCTCGTTAACACACCACTCAGTAACTGACTCTAATATCATTTGTAACAACCACAGCTCACCACTAGTAGATATTGTCTTCTTTGGCCCATTACGTCTCATCATCAGCCTCACAATTTTAAAACACGTCTGTTAGATAAAGGTTTTCACACTTTTATAAGTTATGCTCCGTTCCCCCCTCCAACCGATGTGGGATCTCACAATCCACCCCCCTTGAGGCCCAACATCCTCGCTGGCACACCACCCAATGACCAACTCTAATACCATTTATAACAACAGAAGCTCACCACTAGTAGATATTGTCCACCTTGACCTGTTACATATCACCATTAGCCTCACGGTTTTAAAACACATCTATTAGAAAGAGGTTTCCAAACTCTTGAAAGGTATCCTTTGTTTCCCTCTCTAACCGACCTAGGATCTCACAATCAACAACATAAGCAAACCAATCGAGTTTTCTCAATAATTCGATTTCATTATATAACTATCCTTACCTCCTTGAATCTGATAATGTTCGGATGCTGCAACGATCGATGATTAATGATTTCCCTTTGAACTTTCTCATCAATCTGAAGAACAGAACCATGAAAAGAATGATTTAAGCCTTCAAATCAACCATTAACAAACATGTTTATGAACAATCCATCATCAAATATAAATGGAAAGGCCTAAACAAAGTCATTAATAATCTATTATGAACAAAACCCTTCTTGCATTCGTCTGGAATTGATGCATATGAATCATTATTAGGCCTTGTTCTATGAACACATTGAACAAACACCATGATCAATCAAAAAGCTTCATAAATTTCTTCACAAGTCAACAGAGAACAATGGAACAAACAGTGGGAAGCCATTAAAGCACCAAGCCAAAAGGTAATAAGAAACAAGAAAACAGCCAAACCCCATTAGCAAAACAATAATCAGACCCAGTTCTTCAAATCCCACCATTGTTTAAGCAATTTCTAAAGCATTAGAGCGCTAATCAGACCCATTACAGCATTAAATCCAATTAACAAGCTATTTACCTTCTTCCCTCTCTCAATGTACTTGACAGCAACAAGCTCGTTCGTCTTCTTGTCTCGAACGAGCCTAGCAACTCCAAAATTTCCAGAGCCAAGGTCCTTCAATGGCTCGAACCGATCCTCCATTAGAACTCAATTAAAAAAAAAAAACCCAAAAGGGAAATAAGAACACTAGGAAACTTGGGGGAAAAGAAATGGGGTTTGTCAAGAAATGAAGGGAAAAGCAAAGGGTATTGTTAAACGTGAAGCAGGGTTTTAATGGCGGAGAAAGTGGGGTCGCAGAAGAAAGATAATGGCTCAGGAAGAGGCGGCCGCAGAGCAATACACCCTTTTGAAGATGAAGTTCCTCCAAATGGGACTACTTTTCAACGACCCAAAATTCCTTTTACACGAGAAACCCATTTACGTTCAAAAACAATACTATGTTATAATTGGTGGATGAATGATTTCCATAACTGGGTAACGATCCAATTTTTAGTTCATGGGGATTTACCAAAAAACACCCTTCCAGTTTGTAGCTATACCAGCGACTATATACCATTTTATGAGTTTAATCTATAAACTTTTAGGTCAAATTAAAAAGTATTTAATCCGTCTGAGATTCCACATCCATCCACATCCATTGGTAGGAGAACGAAACATTGTTTATAAGGGGGTGTGAAAATCTCTCCATCCGATGCGTTTTAAAAAGCTCGAGGGAAAACCCGAAAGAAAAAACCCAAAGAAAATAATATCTACTAGCGGTACACTTCTGCCGTTACAAAATGAAAGTTAAATTAATAAAAATACTCTTTTAAGAAAGTTCCAAAAATATTTTTACAGTTAATTTTGGATAAAACCTGTTAACCAATCTAATAGTCAGGAGTTTAATATACCCTTTATAAAGTTTAGAGATTAAATAAACCGTATTTTTTTCAATAACGAGACCTGATATAATATTAGTACGAGATTAAATTCACCCTAACTTAATAACTCGAGCTTTTAAGTTTGATTTAATCCAACATCGAGATAATTAATTAAAAATCTTTTGATATTAATTTAGTACTTAGCTCGATAAAGTATATTAATAAAAAAATAAATGAAAGAATAATAATAATAATTTATATTTAAAAGTCATCTAAAATTGAGAGAAAAATATTGTGTTGAACTCAATAATTGAATAATATATGAAAAATTGAATAAATCAAAGCTATAAATAACAAAATTATTTAAAATAAATTAGAATTAAATAACACGTATGCTAAAACGAGCCGCTCCCAGCAAAATCATTGACCACGACAGTACGTGACTGTCCATTCATAATTAGCCACGTGGCGTCTGTGTTCTGAAGGCGTGCGAATAACGTGAACCCGGTGCACGATAGCGTGAAGCGGACCATTTACAAACGGGTCTTTGGGTCTAAAATGCACCGTTTAGTGGGACCCACTTCTGTAGCTGTCGGCTACGAGAATATTTATCCACCTGTAACTCTCTGGCTGATCAGATTTGTTTTTTTTCTCCATCTGTAGAAGTCCAGTCGCTCTCACGGCGCGTGCATGTCACGACTTTTTTTTTTTTTTTTTTTTTTTTGTTGGGTGCATCCTTTTACGACCTTGATTTGATATTCTAATCTTTAAAATATTTAGTTTTTTCGATTTTGGTTGAGTTGAATTCTTGAAAAATCGAAAATTCGGATCAGTTTATGTGTTGACGTTTTTTATATCTGACCCGTCCAACCTAAAAAGAGTGGTATATTCTACTATTACCCTACCCTAACGGTTCATTATAAGGTATTTGCGTTACATTATGACTTCCCATATTTCCCTTAAATGATTATAAATAAGAGAACTCTCACCACCACTTAGGTGTGGTGGATTAATCAAACATTTTCACCTATTGCTAATGTTATTATGATTATTAAGAATATTTAACGTTTGTAATCGATGTTAGTGATGCATTGGACTTGTGAATGTTTGATATTTAGAATTTTATGAGATTTTAGTGATTAATGTATGTATTGTGAATAAGTATAATTTATTTAAAACAATTAAAAAAAAAAGGATAATCCGACCATCGAACCCAATTAAAAAACAGAGGGTTGAGTTAGATTGGACCGTGAACTCTATAATTTTGGGTTTGTTCAAAGGAATTCTCGTGCACCATTATTAGAGAATTTAGAATAAATTCTACCAAATTTGTCTTTTCAATTTCGAAAATCAGAAACTTGTATTTAGAGTGTCGAGCTTGAAAGCTTAAGAATAAGGAAATTATTGTAGTGAATGTTTTTATTAATTTTGCTAAGTATTGATGGTAACAGCCCGAGTTCGAGTAAGAACTCTAGACTATAATCATTTTCAGTCGAACGCAAAGAGTGAGTCTCTCAATACATTACGCGCCCAAGGTTAAAACGAAGAAAGTCTTAACGCGGATATCTAGGCATCCAGAGACAAGAAGGTCATTGTAAGCGATGAAATGCTTCGGGAAGTTGAAAATAAGCGTAGATCCGAAGATTCCCGGATAGGTCAGCAAAACAATCAACCAAAGTAAGACAATTTACGAGGTGTCCATAGATAATTTGTCTATATATATTTTGAGAAATTTAAGAATATTATTGAAAGTTTTAAAACTTCGAAAATATTTATTTACAGGCTAAATACAAAATTTATACATTTTTATTAATTTAAATTTATTTTGATTGTCCTTTAATGCCTAAGACCACGCGCCACGGTGCAAGTGGGGACAAATATGGTTAAAAGGGTTCAATGAACCGATGTAACGAATGGTAGTTGAGTTACTAATCCAACAGATGGACGCCACGTGTTCTTACTCTTCTATGGCCCACGCGCCTCAAGTATCGTGGATCCCATCTTACCTCCAAACAAACAATCACATCAATTTGTTTAATATTATCCAATAATAATCTAATTAAACACCAAATAAAAAATAAAATAATTATTATAATAATAAATAACATTCTAATAGTAGCGATCAATTCATTCTTATGAACTCCATATTATTTTTTAATTGAAAATTGAAAAATAAAATTATTTTTTATATTTTAAATTTAAATTATATTAATTTAATATATATTATCGAAAAACAAACGGGTATGGTTGGAATAATACATTATTTAAAAATACTCCCATGTAAAAATCTCGACTATTTAAATCATCCTCACAAACAAACCAAACATGTTAATCTAAGGTTGTTAGACGTGGTTAGCAACTAGAAAAATAAATTAATATACAAAAAATGAAAAAATGGCATATAATTGCAGTCACGAGCAACACTTCTTGAATAAGCATGATTATGACATCATACATCTATATTTTCAGACGTCGGGAGATTTCTCGACTATCCAGTAGCACGTCTAACATAATTTATATAATAATATTTGTTTTTTTTTTTGTGTTTAATTTATCAAATTAAAATATCTCTTTACCCCAAAAAAAGATCTATTACTTTTAGTCCATTTGATGGGTTACAAGCCCATCAAAGCTGAAATTGGAGGCCCAAGCCCATAGCTAGCAAATATTGTCTACTTTGGCCTGTTGCGTATCGTTGTCAGTCTTGCGATTTTAAAATGCGTCTACTAGGGAGAGGTTTCTATATAGTTGTAAGGAATGCTCCGTTCCCTTCTCCAACCGATACGGGATCTCACAATCCACCCACTTGGGAGCCAGCATTCTCGTTGGCACACCGCTCAGTATCTAGCTCTGATACAATTTATAATAGTTCAAACCTCTGCCCTGTTACATATTACTGTTAACCTCATGGTTTTAAAGTGTGTCTCCTAATTTAATTTAATTATAATTTTATAAGACGTGAGAAAAGAAAAAGTGTAATATTGAGTGAATATTTAATTATTGTTATATAAAAATAATTACACACAAATATACCAAACAAAAATTTAATTTATTCATTGGATTGATTACCTTAAACGTAAGGAGTTATGGCTTTCGGTGGTCGGTCATAAAATGTTTTGTCCATCAATTTCCGTAATTAATAATTAATGTTGGATTAAAATGGTCAACTTTCCAATTAAAAATTAAAATTAAAATAATCCAATAATTGAGTAACGGCAACACGTCCGCACTTTGTTTGTGGTCTTTAATGATCTTGTCCCCTCGATGAAGGAACAGCCGTTATTTCTTCATTTCTTATGGATAATGTTTTTGAACGCTTCTAATTCTATTTCTTTATAATTTTTCTTTCTTTTTTTTTCATAATATTAGCGTTACTGTCCAAACCCACCACTAGTAGATATCGTCTACTTTGACCTGTTACGTATCGCCGTCAACCTCACGATTTTAAAACACGTCTACTAGAAAGAGGTTTATACACCCTTATAAGAACCGGTCAAACAATCTGATTTAGTCTCGATTTAGAATGAATGGGTGCGAGAACGAGAACAACAACAAGAACAAGAACGAGAATGATTTTCCTTCCCCATTATTCCCATGATTGTCGTATAAAATTTGTGTTTAACTGTTTATTATGAAGTGGGTCCCACAAATAATAAGAATTTTCTCGTTTTTTTTTTTTTTTGTCTCGATCGTTCAAATCTGAGTAGCTATTGTTTTTTTTTCATTCGTCTCTAAGCTTTTTTAGGTTCTCTATCTCCGTTCGAGATCCATATGCATTATTATAGTGGGTTTCCTTCGAGATCCATATGCATTATTATAGTTCAAAAGCGACCGTTCTATTCTCTACACTACAACAAATTCACGTATTTTCGATACTAAAAAGTAAAAAAAAAAAAAAAAAATCAAAAGCATTGGCAAAACAGCTTATGAGAGCGGTACTACAAACTCTAAAAAACGAGAAGAGGAGGTTTCTTGTGACGGTATGTGACGTAGCTTCTCGGGACAATTGTTATAATTTGAAATAAATTACATATATTTTTAAAAATTTTAATTTTAAAGTGAATTTGAATTTTGATAATTTATTTAGAATCTGTTTCGATTATTTTCATCGAATTAAATATATTTTAAAAAGTCAATGTGATATGAATTTTTTCAAAGAAATGTTGAAGGTCAATATTAAAATTTAATGTTAAATAATACATAAAAAGGATGACTTTTTTAGGGAAATAAAATAAAATAAGACAACTACGTAAATAAAATTTTTAAATATTGAAAATAGGATAAGATTTTTGATTGTGAAATGGATCTATTGATGTGACAAAACTTAATGGAAAATAATATTTCTTTATTTCTTTATTCACTATACTTTAAATAATATTATTTTCTAATTATAAAAAAATTGAAAAATAGCCTTAAAACTTTTTTAAAAAATTAAAATTAAAATTATTTTTAATTTTATAATATTTAAAAAAAAATAAAAGAGAGATAATTTATGAATGAATTTTGTT